TCTCTCTCTCTCCCTCTCTCTCTCTCAACACATCCTGTTGGTTTTGTTTCTCGAGAGAACTCTGACTAATACAGACTCCAAATGAAATGACCAGCAATTACACAAATAGTACTGCTAATGGTAAGAGGTATCACAACAGAGGAGCACTGACTTAAAGTAGTGGGTAGAATGGTACTCAGGAGAGTCATTGCCAAATTTCCATTTCCCCTGATTTCTCTGCGCCTGTGGCTTTATTGTACTGCCTTTATATTATTTTTCCTACTAGAGGCTCTGAAATTTAATCAGAAAATCTTAAACAGTAAAGATTAATAAAGAAAGGGCCATGATGAAGGAAAAGAACAGATGGCTCATGAGACATTAATAAATTCAGTAATACTTACGACAACACGAGGTGTTACTAGGAGATACACAGTGTGAGGAACTATTTTATTATCTCGAACATTCCATAATCTCTCCACTCTTTGAACTACTTTATCACTCCATTGATACAATCCAAGACTGCAATTAAAAAAGAAGACAGTCACTTTTGCAAATTCACTACACTAAATGTATAAGGATTTATGAATATCAATGAAATTAAAATATTTGAGCTTACTATGTACCAAGTCCATGAATTTAATGATATAGAATTTAAAATTTTTGAAATTTTAAAAACTTTGATAACATTTTCTAATTTAATCTTTTCAACAACCTTATGAGATTATCATCACTATCTTGCAGATAAAGAGAAATTTAGAGAAAGGAAGTAACTTGCTCAAGTCCACATAGCTAATACTTAGGCTAAGATGACAATGAATTACTTTTTAGCAAATTTATTGGATAAAACAAAAGCAAGTCCAGAGACATATCCAAGTAAATAAGGAAACTTTAAAAAAAGATGGCACTTTAATTTAGTGGCAAAGTATAATTAACTTAGTAACTGCTATGAAACAGGTTATGGATCTAGGGAAAAAAAGTGTTAAATCCCTATTTCATCCCATATACAGAAATAAATTCCAGACAGATGTCAGCAAAAATGGCAGAGTAAGGACCTCTGAAAATTCTCTGCTTCATGAAAGCAACAAGAAAAGTAGCAAAATTGGCCAAATCAACTTTTTCAGGACTCTGGAAATTAACCAAAGGCTTGCAGCAATCCAGAAAGCATTTTTNTTCAGAAATCCCAGCAGTACGGGGGTGAGGGTGGGCGGGGGGTGGTCCTTCTATTCCACAGGACTCTCCTCTAGGCTGTCTCCTCAAAAACTGGACTAAATTTGACCTCTCTCCCCTCAAAGAGAACAAAAGTTTTTTTGTAACGTTGCCTGGCCACAATATAAACTAGAGGATCAGGAGATCTGGCCAACCAACCGAACTCTTAACTTTAACACCATCATGCAAGTAGACCTCTTCTGTCGGCAGCTACAAAAATGGACCAAGGTCCCCTATGTCCAAGCCTTCATGGCCCTAAGTCAAGACCAGGATCTCTGAAAACAATGCCACATGTGTTTGGCTAAAAGTCCACCTCCCCGACCTCCTTGATGATCCTTCAAGGACAGCCTTCAAACTCCCTTCCTCTTCAGGCTTCAGCACCACCTTCCCCTCCTCCCTCCAGTTCCTCTATCCCATCCCTCTCCCCCTCTCCCACGGCTCCTCCCCCCACCTCCACCCCCATTCGGTGGGTCCAGTATTAAGCCCAGCGGCGACCACCTGCAATGGGACCCATTTCAAGGCAGATTCCATGTTACCCCTGCACGAAGTAGCAAACAGGGACACAGAAACTATGTCCCTTTTCCCATGGCAGATTTAGCACACACTGAAATCAAATTTGGTTTCTACTCTGTAGATCCTTCCAAATTTATCAAGGAATTTCAGGGCCTTACTATGGCTTTTGATCTAACCTGGCAAGACACACATCTAATTCTCACCACTTGCTGTACTTTAGATGAAAAGAATTGTATACGGAGCCTAGCTCAAAGATACGCAGATAGACTGGCAGCTGGACAGCCTAACCGATACCAGATTGGGGCAGAGGCAGTACCTAATCAGGATCCTAATTGGGACTATCAGCTTCAAGCCCAAGGCAGGTGTCAGAGGCATCAAATGATCAATTGCCTAATCGAGGTTTAGAAGGGATAAGGAGGACCTGAGAAAGGTCAATTAATGGCCGCTGCCCTTGCCAGCACACTTCCTGCGCAGCCTTACCTGGGTCCAAGCCCATGCGGAGGGAGGCCCACGTGGAGGGAGACCCCCGAAGACGCGCCAGAGCGTCTGCTTCTCCTGCCATCAAGAGGGACACTGGAGTAAGGCTTGCCGGCGCCAGGCTAAGAAGCTGCCTCCAGGTCCATATCCCCTTTGCAAAAAGGAAGGACACTGGTAAAACTGTCCCCTCTCCCCTCAGGGAGGCAGGCCATCCCGATTCCACGCTGGCCAAAAGGGTGCCTCCTCCACTCTGCTGCTGCTAAATGGTCATGGTCAACTACGTACCAGACGGCCCCGTGGTTCATCCGGGCCCCTCCTCAACACCGCAGAGGCAGAACCCACAGTACTGCTCTGATGTAGCAGGTAAGAATATTACATTTCTTGTTGATAGGAAGCCACTTTCTCTGCTCTTATCTAACACACTCCAGCCCTATGCTTCCTTCTGCTGGTCTCACCGGCATAGAGGGAAACCCAACCACCTGCAGGTGCACTTTTCCTTTACATTGTTGCCTTGGGTCTCATTTACTCATAGCTATTTAGTCATATCTCAGTGTCCTATTCCCCTATTAGGGGGAGATAACATGCAAAGATTACAAATCTGCCTCCCAATATCACCTGATCCAACTCTCATAGTTACTCTGCAGCCCATACTCCCCAGCCAAACAGTAGATACTAACCTCTGTATTCTTCCTTGGGTTAGAAACCAAGTTAACCCTAAAGTTTGGAATCAGGAAATCCCAGGGAGGACTTCTCCCTACATCCTTAATCTACTAACAAAGTTTATGTCATCCTGTTTACAGGCATTTAGGCACCAACCCCTTCTCCACAACCAGATTATGCTCATAGGCGGCTTCCAGCCCATTCTCACCACAGCCCTGAACCCCCCTGCAGTCTGGTAGATCAAAGCTCCAACTCCCAGCCTGGAGCCCCCAACTTGGTCCAGTCTCTAGATGACACTGCCCAGATTTTCCAAGGCCCATTTGCTCCACCATGTTTGACTGGCAATCTCATAGCTAGGGACAGCTCTATGCCCCTACCCAGTTCTGAAGCAGTTACAGAAGTCGGACCCTAATCCCCAATCCCCAAAGATGTTTCATTGCCCATCAGGGATGTGGGAATGATGACACAGGTAAAGGGTTAATAGGAATGGGTTTGGGAGGTAATAGGAATGAGTTTAAAGATTAACTGCTTGGCTCTGAATCCCCCACTTATCATGGCATCTACAAAGAATTACAAAAACAGCTTAATCACATCATAGATAGAACTCAGAAGAAACCAACTGTAACTGGCAACACCCTGTGAGCTAAGGAACACCCTGCCCCCAGCACAATGAGATAAAACCCCCAGCTGAACAGGAAATCAGCTCAGGTGTCTCTAGCTGACTCTGCCCAGGGAAATCTCTTTTTGCCTGTATGCCTCTTTGCTAATAAACTTGCTAACTCAGTCTCAAAAAAAATAAAAAAATAATTACTCTGTTGAGAACAGGGAACACCTTTTAAAAATATGGTCTTTAAAATAATTAAATATTTGGTACTGTCACACTGTGATAGTAAATTACTATTTCTCTTCATATTTTTTCTATTTGAAGATTTTGACTTTAAGTCACATATATTTCAAAAAAATTATAGACTAGTATGATTGCCACTTGTAACTCAACAATGATTTTAATGTAGATATAAACTGCTCTTACTGTTGACATAGTATTTGTAGGAAAAATAAGTTGTTCATTAAAATACAATTTTGTTCATTTGGTTCTGTCTGTCCTTCAGGTAGAGATTTCCAGGGATGGGAAACAGGACAAGAGCAGTGCAAAAGTTCAGAAGGCAGAGAGGTGTGTTTAGTCAAGGAAGGAGAAAGGGACAATAGGTTTCTGTCATTACATAGGAGTAAAGGACACTGGTGGTTCATTTTATGTCAACTTGGCTGGGCCACAGTGCCCAGATAATTGGCCAAACATTGTTCTGGATGTTTTTGTGAGGGTGTTTTTGGATGAGATTAACATTTAAATTAGTAGACTTTGAGTAAAACAATTATCCTCCATCTCTCTCTCTCTCTCTCTCTCTCTCTCTCTCTCTCTCTCTCTCTCTCTCTCTCTCTCTCTCTCTCTCTCTCTCTCTCTCTCTCAACACATCCTGTTGTTTTTGTTTCTCAAGAGAATTCTGACTAATACAGACTCCAAATGAAATGACCAGCAATTACANAGCTATTGTTCACCATCTTAGATGAAGAGGGCAGTGTCACTGGCCCCATGTGGGATCCGAACTGGGGCCCTGCTGCTCAGAGCTGGTGTCCCAAGCCAGCTCTTGACCAACGCACCACTCGGCCAGCCCTATGATGTCTTTTTAAGACAAGCTAGTAATTGTATTATGACTTACTGCTTTTGTTAGTGCTCTGGTGTTTGTTTCTTCCCACAAGGCTTGTTATTTTTAGTATTCAATTTTGAAGAAAGAGAATTTTTTTTAGGAAAGCATATATTACAGAAGAAGTGCTTGTACTACCTTGGAAAAATGTTTAAGATACTTCATTAAGTGGAGAAGGTTGCATAAATGTACGAACCCATTTTTTAAAAATGTGTATGTTACTGTGTGCCTCTCTACATATATATATAACATTTCTGAAAGGACATACAAAAAACTTAAATAGTGATTACATCAGGAAAACGGATCTGGAAAGCTAAAAGGGACTTAAATATTTTTTTACTTTATAAGTTATTATACTGTTTGAAACTGTTTGAATAACTTTTACCATAAGTAAGAATTATAACACTTTTATTAAAGAAAAAAACACGTCTAGTAAAATTTTAAAGTAAACTGACCTCTAGTAACCGCTTTTCCCAATGGTTAAGCTCAGTGCCCATACCACCTTGATTTTCAAGTTCCATTCCTTCCAGAATTGGACAGTTAAAATGTTTTCGTGCTTCATCCTATGAATCAGAAAAAATATAAACCCTACAAAAGTACAACAAGATAATGGCAAACTATTTATCACACTAGATATAATAAAGTAGACGTTAAAGAATTACTTCGGGCAGTTTTCTCTAGCAGACTCTGCCTGGGCAAATCTCTTTTTGCCTGCGTCCCTCTTTGCTGATAACCTTGCTAACTCCATCTCGTTTTTCAGTGCCTTGTGAATTCTTGCACAACCTGCGAGCGACCGCGACATTTTGGTGGCCCACATGGGGAGGCTCTCTTGTATCCCCACTGGGGTTCCCTTGTGGTTCTATCCCCTCTGAGACCTATTTTCCAATGTGTGGCACAGTTGGCAGGGGCAGCTCATCCAGGACGATTCTGTATATGCTAACAAATCTCCTTCTCCTCTTTCTC